TTGCTTTTTGGTTTTTTTTTTTTTTTTTTTTTTAAATAAGAAACTGTAGTGTCTTGGAGAAAACAAGTTCCTAGGCCTCCTTCCTCTCACAAGTGATTCTGGGCTGTGCCTTGAGATCAACCCTGCTGAGGCCGGGCGTGGTGGCTCACACTTGTAATCCCTGCACTTTGGGAGGCTGAGGCATGGATCACTTGAGGGCAGAAGTTCGAGACCAGCCTGGACAACATGGTAAAACCCTGTCTCTACTAAAAATACAAAAATTAGCCAGGTGTGCTGGTGCACGCCTGTAATCCCAGCTACTTGGGAGGCTGAGGCAGGAGAATGACTTGAACCTGGGAGGCGAAGGTTGCAGTAAGCTGAGATCATGACACTGCACTCCAGCCTGGGCGACAGAACAAGACTCCGTCTCAAAAAAAAAAAAAAAAAAAAAAAAAAAAAAAAATCAACCCTGCTGGTCTCTGATAAACTGCAGGTTCACAACCGGGTTCACAAACAATTGTTGAACAAGAAATGTCAGTCTATAAAAATTCTTGGAAGAAAACCGCAGCCCTGTTCAAGAGTTCCTTACCTCTGGCACATTTTCTGTGTATTGAAGATAAGGATATGATCATTCGCTCTCTGCACGTCAGGACTGAGATGTGATCAAACTCCCTCCCCATTTTCTAGAAGGTAAACCGACCCCCAAAGAGGGGAACAGTGCATTTGTGGCAGAGAACAGACTCTCTTCCCCAACATTTTTACTTTGAAAAATGTCAAACCTACAGAAACATTTCAAGAACACTACAGTAAGTACCCGTACTTATTTACCAATTGCTAACACGACACTAAATTTGCTTTGTCTCTTTTTCTCTCAAATCTCATATATGTGTTAGTTTCAGGTATCATGACACTTTATCCACATGCAAGCTGGGAGGATCCCTTGAGGCCAGGAGCTAGAGACCATACTGGGCAACATCGTGAGACCCCATCTCTACCAAAAAAAAAAAATTAGGGCTGGGCATGGTGGCTCACGCCTGTAATCCCAGCACTTTGGGAGGCCGAGGTGGGCGGATCACAAGGTCAGGAGTTCAAGACTATCCTGCTGAACATGGTGAAACCCCGTCTCTACTAAAAATAAAAAAAACTTAGCCAGGCGTGGTGGCCGGCACCTGTTGTCCCAGGTACTCGGGAGGCTGAGGCAGAAGAATGGTGTGAACCCGGGAGGCGGAGCTTGCAGTGAGCCGAGATTGCGCCACTGCACTCCAGCCTGAGGGACAGAGCAAGAATCTGTCTCAAAAAAACCGCAAAAAACAAACAAACAAAAACTTAGCTCAGCCTAGTGGGGCATGCCTATGGTCCCAGGATTGCTTGAGCCCAGGAAGTCGAGGCTACAGTGAACTATGATCATGCCACTTTGAGCTGTGACTAAAGCTGTGATAACAGAGCCAGACCCTGTCTCTTAGAAAAAGGATAAAGAAAATCAACAGAAACTAATTAATCTCTGTATGACGTTGAGGACTTAACCCCACTTGCAAAAAAGAATAAAACGATCTGAGTAACTATGGAGATGGGTTGTCCAGCGGTACCTCCTTAGTGGAGTACACTCTAAGAACTGGGAGGCCTGTGACAGAATCCTAAACCTCACTAGTGAGTTTGTTATTGGTGGTGGAGAGGGCGGAGCCATTCTGAAGCAACTTTGGGTTATCCTAGGATTGGTGGTACTAGCACCCAGATTCTCACTGTAGGATGAGGGAGATTTGGAATGGAGGAAGGAAAATGCTGGTGTTTTGTTATTTGTAATTAGTTATGGAAAAAATGAATTACTGAAAAGATTTTTAAGTAAAAAAAAGAAAGAAAAGAAAAAGGCTGGCCAGGCACTGTAGCTCATGCCTGTAATCCCAGCACTTTGGGAGGCTGAGGCAGGTGGATCACTTGAGGTCAGGAGTTCGAGACCAGCCTGGCCACAGGGCAAAAACCTGTCGCTACTAAAAATACAAAAAAATTAGCCGGGCATGGTGGCATGCACCTGTAGTTCCAGCTACTCAGGTGGGTGGCTGAGGCAGGAGAATCTCTTGAACCCAGGAGGTGGAGGCTGCAGTGAGCTGAGATCACCTCATTATACTCCAGCCTGGGCAATAGAGCAAAACTGTCTCAAAAAAAAAAAAAAAAAAAAAGGAAGGAAGGGCAAAGAAAGAAAAAAGAGAAAGAAAGAAAAAAAGAGAAAGAAAGAGAAAGAAAAGAAAGAAAAAAAAAGAAAGAAAGAAAGAAAGAGAAGAAAGAAGAAAAAGGAAAAAAAAAAAACCCCTAGGTCCACTGAGACGACCTAGAAGCAGTAATACCCAGTTGCAAGAAGCACCTTGCCACTGTTAGATTCTAAACTCCAGTCCCCAGTGAAAGGCACCAGTGCCTGTTGGAGAGATGGCTGACTCCAGAGCTGGGACAGGGAACGTCAAGAGGAACCCGGGACATTTTATTGTGCCAGAAAGTAAAGAGGTGCTCAAAGAATGGTGGGAGCATGAAAGCAGCTAGCACAGAGCTGCTGGAAGGAGCTGCCAACAGCCAGGCCTGGGAACATTTGAGCACAAAATAAATAATGGAAGTCATACATTCAGCTTGCTTTTTTTTTTTTTTTTTTTTTTTTTGAGACAGAGTCTCACTCTGTCACCCAGGCTGGAGTACAGTGGCATGGCACGATCTCAACTCACTGCAACCTCCACCTCCTGGGTTCAAGCAATTCTCCTGCCTCAGTCTCCCAAGTAGCACTGATTAGAACTCACCATCGAGACCATGTCCTGCCCAAAAGGTTTAACTTGAATCTCATCAATAGGAAACCATCAGACAGATCCACATGGAGGGAATTTCTGCAAACCAGCTGGCCTGGATGCTTTGCAAATGTCCACATCATGAAAGACAGAAGCAAAGCAAAACAAAACAAAAGGCTGAGAACTATCTGATGGTTTCCTATTGATGAGATTCAAGTTAAACCTTTTAGGCAGGACATGGATGTCCAAGTAGCTGGGACTGCAAGTGCCCGCCACCCCACCCGGCTAGATTTTTTTTTTTTTTTTTAAGTAGAGAAGGAGTTTCACTATGTTGGCCTGGGTGGTCTCGAACTACTGACCTCGTGATCTGCACACCTCAGCCTCCCAAAGTGCTTAGATTACAAGCGTGAGCCACCGTGTCCGGCTGGGGAAAGATTTTTAGGGAACAAGGGCCAGGTGTGGTGGCTCACGCCTGTAATTCCAGCACTTTGGGAGACTGAGGCGGGTGGATCACAAGGTCTGGAAATCAAGACCATCCTGGCAAACACGGTGAAACCCCGTCTCTACTAAAAAAATACAAAAAATCAGCCGGGTGTGGTAGCCGGTGCCTGTAGTCCCAGCTACTTGAGAGGCTGAGGCAGGAGAATGGCTTGAACACGGGAGGTGGAGCTTACAGTGAGCCAAGATCGCGCCACTGCACTCCACTCCATCCTGGGCGACAGAGCTAGATTTCGTCTCAAAAAAAAAAAAAAAAAAAAAAAGATTTTTAAGGAACAAGACATACATCAATCCAGAGATGCCAGCTTTACCAAATGATGAAATGGAACGTCCTCAGTAAGGGGACACACTGACGCCACGTGCTTCCTCCATTCTGAATTCCAAATCTCCCTCACCCTACAGTGAGAATATGGGTGCTGGTACCACCAATCCTAGGATAACCCAAAGTTATTTCAGAATGGCTCCACCCTCCCCACTGCCAATAACAAACTCACTAGTGAGGTTTGGGGTTCTGTCACAGTTCTTACAGTGTACTCCACTAAGGAGGTACCGCTGCCTAACGCAGCTCCGTAGTTACTCACATCGTTTTATTCTTTTTTGCAAGTGGGGTTAAGTCATCAACATCATACAGAGATTAATTAGTTTCTGTTGATTTTCTTTATCCTTTTTCTAAGAGACAGGGTCTGGCTCTGTTATCACAGCTTTAATCACAGCTCAAAGTGGCATGATCATAGTTCACTGTAGCCTCGACTTCCTGGGCTCAAGCAATCCTGGGACTACAGGCATGCCCCACTAGGCTGAGCTAATTTTTTTTTTTTTTGGTAGACATGGGGTCTCGCTATGTTGCCCAGGATGGTCTCTAGCTCCTGACCTCAAGGGATCCTCCCACCTTGACCTCCCAAAATGTTGGGATTACAGGCATGAGCCTCCTCACCCCGCTTCTGTTGGTTTTCCTCCTATCCTTGTTGACTTACTTTTATTTCTTTTTCTTTTTTTTTCTTTTTGAGACGGAGTCTCGCTCTTTCTCCCAGGCTGGATTGCAGTGGTGCAATCTCGGCTCACTGCAAGCTCCGCCCCCGGGTTCACACTACTCTCCTCCCTCAGCCTCCCGAGTGGCTGGGACTACAAAAAAGAGGTAGGCATTAACACAGTGTTCCATCCCTTTGGAGGCAGCCCCGGGCTGAGCGCAGGACTCCTGGGTTCCACCAGCCTCGGGGTTTCCAGGAGTCCAAGAGCGGCCAGGGGGTGAGTCCCTGTCCCCGTGCCCCTGACCACGCTCCAATACCTCCCCCACACCCTCCCCCCGGCCTCCTGGGCCTTGGCTTGTGCCTGTGAACCGAAGGGGTCATATTCGGGTCTCTGGACAGCTCCCAGGCCTGGACTTCGTTTTCCAGGATATCACCTTTACTGGTCAACCCATTTTGTTTCACAAGAGCCCAGTGAGTGTATGACACGAAATAGAGCCTCCGTAAATAGTTGTAGGAATTAGCGTCATTTTACAGGACGGAAACTGAAGCTCCAAGTGAGAGTAACTTACCCCCAAGGTCTCATTGGTGAGAGACGCTGTGGAAGGGTTGCCCTGGCCTGGGTACACAGTAGGCGCTTTGATGCAGGCTCGGGAAGGTCCTGCCTGGTGGGATTGCGCCCTGGGGCACCGCGCACGAGTCGGGGAAGCCCCGGGCAGGGCTGTTTGTAAATAGCGCGCGAGGAGGCCGCGGATTGGCCGGCCCGGGCGGGGGCGGGGCGCGCCGAGGGCCCAGGGCTGCCTGGTGCGCTGGCGGGGAGAGGTCAGGTGTCCGCGCCCGCCCGCTGGACCTCCCGCCCCGCGCTCTGGCGGCTCCTCCCGGGCGATGCCTCCGCTCTGGGCCCTGCTGGCCCTCGGCTGCCTGCGGTTCGGCTCGGGTAGGCAGGGAAGGGCAGGAGGAGGCTGAGCTCAGAGAGAGGGGGCAACTGTGTCCTGGGGCGCCCGCCGCCTGGATCCTGATTCCTGGCGCTGGGGACCCAGATACTACTATTATGAATAATAGTGATAGCCAACGTTTACGTGCGTCCTCTGGTGGGAATCCGAGGGCTCACGGATGGCTGCAGCCCTGCGATGTGTGTTGCAAGAGAGCGACATGCAGCGGGGCTGCGGGAGGGCAGAGAAGGGACTAGCCGCGGACCCATGGTGACGCCTGGGCGGGGGCAGATGGAGAGATATTTCGGCCGAGGAAGCCACATGGGCAAGGTCATGGAGGTGGGAGACAGCATTTGGCTGTCCTGGGAATTGTCCAGGGCGCAATCCATGGGACCGGCTGGAGTGTGGGATGAGGGGAGCCTGTGGAGGAAGGGGTGAGGCTGGAGACCCAGAAAAGCAAAGCCCAGAACTTCAGGACCTCACTGCCTTTCCAGAGAGGCTGGACTTCGTCAGGGGGCGCTGGGGGACCATGGAAGGGCCACAGCAGGAGAACGAGACAGCCAGATTGGCATGTGGTGGGGACGGTGTTGTCACTAGGGTCCAGGTGAGGAAGTTGGGATGGAGAAGGGCTGGGCCCATGGGGCGGAGAGACGCTTCGGAGGGGCAGTGGAGTTCTTGGCAACTGGGTGTCTGCAGCAGGGAGAGAAGGCAGCAGTTTGGCCCCACTGCCCCATTTCTGAGCAGGATGACTGGGCAGGGGGCAGTGTCTGAGACAGGTTATGCGGTGGCCCAGGGGTGGGTGAAGCCCAGGGCCTGGCACACGGCAGGTGGTCAGGAACTGCAAGCAGAGTGGGTGTGGACAGTTCTGCTGGGGGTGAGTTCCCATCCTCACTGCCTCCTCCAGCTGTGAACCTGCAGCCCCAACTGGCCAGTGTGACCTTCGCCACCAACAACCCCACACTTACCACTGTGGCCTTGGAAAAGCCTCTCTGTATGTTTGACAGCTCAGAGGCCCTCACTGGCACCCACCAGGTCTACCTGTACGTCCTGGTTGACTCAGGTAAGGGTCCTGCTTCCCTCTGGCTACTCCAAAAGGGGCTTTGACCTGTCTGCAGGGAGGAGGGAAGGAAGCAGGTAGAGGAACCCTCCATGCCTGTAGTCATTTCATTAAACTACCCGTGCTCTTTATTAGCATGCCCTGGCTTCCACTCCGGGCCAGCCCTTGGCTGGGTGCTGCAGTCACAGACCTGTCCTTGCCCTGCAGGGACATCCAGTTAGTGAGGGAAGTAATAATACCAGCAATCACTGAGGACCTACACCATACCGGGCACTTTGCACACTGTAGAGCTAATATCTACAACCAGCTTGTAAGGCAGCTATTACCAGTGCCCATGACACAGCAGGGAATCAAGGCTCAGAGAGGTGGAATAAGCCGCCTGGAGCTCCCAGAGCTGGAGAGTGAATCCTGATCTCTCTAGTCCCCAAGCCCAAGGTCCTTCCTGAGGCTTCGCCAGGTGGCTCGAGATTGGTGTTTTTGAGGCAAAACCATGGATTTGGACCTGCTGCTGTGGCCCAGCCCTGATCCCTTCCCTGGAGGCGATCCTGAGCTTCTGAGACAAGCCAACATCAACTCTTGCATTTCTAGCAGCCAGTCATTTACAACAGCTCATTCAGGGCCATCATTTTCTTCTTTCAGCACGTGTTTATTGACTATAAACTAAAGTACCTGATCTCTGGGCACTGTGAGGAATTTCTCTCCCATTTCCTAGAAGACTAGGGTCTGGAGAGGTAGAGTAAGTTGTCCAAGGTCACCCATCTAGTAAGGAGGAGACCTGGGACCTGCCTCCACTTTATTTCCCTTGGTCATATGACCCTCCTTTCCCATTTTACACAAGAGAAAATCCAGGGCTTTCAGCAATGAAGTGACAAAGATCTGTTGGGAATGGGGGGTTGCAGGAATGTCACAAGATAAGGCGAGAGTCAGACACAGTGCCCAAAGCAGGGAGGTGATCCTTGTCCATCTCCCACATTGCACTGGGAGGGCAGAGACTAAGCTAGCCCCATGCCTGTGACCCCAGTGCCCAGCACAGGGCTGGGGCAGAAAGGATGATCGGGGCTTTTGATGAATAACTGAGTGAGTGCTGCTGAGCCGGAGCGGCCAGGAGCCTCACTTCCCGCACTGCCTCTGCAGCCAGCTCCAGGAATGCCTCAGTGCAAGACAGCGCCAAGACCCCACTGGGCTCAACGTTCCTACAAACAGAGGGTGGGAGGACAGGTCCCTACAAAGCCGTGGCCTTTGACCTGATCCCCTGCAGTGACCTGCCCAGCCTGGATGCCGTTGGGGATGTGTCCCAGGCCTCACAGATCCTGAATGCATACCTGGTCAAGGTGGGCGCCAACAGGACCTGCCTGTGGGACCCCAACTTCCAGGGCCTCTGTAACCCACCCCTGTCGGCAGCCACGGAGTACAGGTGGGTGTAAACAAACTGCTACAGGAGAGCAGCGGTTCCCCAGTCCTGACAAGGGAGAGCAGGGGCAAAGCAGGAGCAGCCACATTTCTTGAGAGCTCATATGCTGAGCGCATCCCAGGTTCCAGGCAGGCTGCGCTGAGCCTCAAGTTCAGAAGGGGCCCCTCTTGGATTGATGTTCTGCAACTACCATCTTGGAATTCTTTTTTTTTTTTTTTTTTGAGACGGAGTTTTGCCATCTCCCAGGCTGGAGTACAGTGGCATGATCTCAGCTCGCTACAACCTCTACCTCCCAGGTTCACGTGATTCTCCTGCCTCAGCCTCCCGAGTAGCTGAGATTACAGGTGCATACCAGCACGCCCAGCTAATTTTTGGGGTTTTTAGTACAGATGGGGTTTCACCATGTTGGTCAAGCTGGTCTCGAACCCCTGACCTCAAATGATCCACCTGCCTTGGCCTCCTCCATAGTGCTGGGATTACGGACGTGAGCCACCACGCCCGGCCCATCTTGAAATTCTTAATTGTTGAACAAGGGCCCACATTTTCATTTTGCTCTGGGCCCCACAAATTATGCAGCTGGCCCTGGCCCATCTACATGTGTGGAAGTCACCCACCCAAACCCCTTCGTCTTACAGGAAAGGAAACTGTGCCAGAGAGGGAAGGTTGCCCAGTGGAAAGCTGGGACCCAGCGTGAACAGAAACCCTACCAAAGCCTTGCCATCTGCAGCCTCAACGGAGTTTCGCTCTTGTTGCCCAGGCTGGAGTGCAATGGTCCAATCTTGGCTCACCACAACCTCCGCCTCCTGGGTTCAAGAGATTCTCTTGCCTCAGTCTCCCGAGTAACTGGGATTACAGGGATGCGCCACCATGCCCGGCTACTTTTGTACTTTTAGTAAAGACAGGGTTTCTCCGTGTTGGTCAGGCTGGTCTCGAACTCCCAACCTCAGGTGATCCGCCCGCCTCGGCCTCCAAAAGTGCTGGGCTTACAGGCATGAGCCCCCGCGCCTGGCCTGGGTGAGACTTCAAGGATCTTAATTTTTATCTGCGTGTTAAGCTACAGGCTGTAGATGTCTTTGTCATCAGAACATCCATCATTTTAAAGTGACTGTGTATGAGACCTTAAGTAGGCTGTGACTATTCTGTACTGCATTGCCCAGTCTTCTTCTGTGATTAGTAATACTTGTTGCGGGGTTTCTGCGCTTAAAATATACCTCCTGTTCAAGGGCAGCAGGGTTTATGATGGATATTATTCCAGTTTTTTTTTCTTTTTCTTTTCTTTTTTTTTTTTTTTTTTTTGAGACAGGGTCTTATTCTGTGTCCAGGCTAGAGGGTAGTGATGCAATCTCAGCTCACTGCACCCTCTGTCTCTGACGGATCCTCTGGCCTTGGCCCCCCAAAGTGTTGGGATTACAGGTGTGAGCCACCGCATCCGGCCTCAGCTAAGCTGGGGAAGGGTACAGGGGGTCCTACTGGCCAAGCTGAGCACTATCCTGTTGCCCAGAGCCCACTCAGTAGCCGTCTATATTTCCATCTCCTGGAAGGAACCCCCCACTGTCTCCCACCCCTAGGCCATCCTATGTCCCCCCACCGCCTCCCTGTGGCTGGGGCTCACAGGAAGCATAAAAGTCACCCTGGCTCCATCTCCTTCCAGGTTCAAGTATGTCCTGGTCAATATGTCTACGGGCTTGGTAGAAGATCAGACCCTGTGGTCGGACCCCATCCGCACCAACCAGCGTGAGTGGTGGGCCGTGGTGGGGGTGATGCTCAAGGGACCCGAGAAGGCAGGGCCAGGCACGGCGGTGAGAACCAAGGCTCATCTGTCCCTGTGAAAGCCTCCCAGGCCAGGCGGTGATGAGTAAAATGCTCCTTAAAGCCGTTGATCCAGGCCAGGCGTGGTGGCTCACACCTGTAATCCCAGCCTTTGGGAGGCTGAGGCAGGTGGATCCCGAGGTCAGGAGATCGAGACCATCCTAGCTGACCCGGTGAAACCCCCGTCTCTACTAAAAATACAAAAACAAAATTAGCCGGGCATGGTGGGGGCACCTGTAGTTCCAGCTACTCTGGAGGCTAAGGTGGGAGAATAGCGTGAACCCGGGAGGCGGATCTTGCAGTGAGCCGAGATTGCGCCACTACATTCCAGCCTGGGCGACAGAGTGAGACTCCATCTCAAAAACAAACAAAAAAAAAATTAGCTGGGCGTGGTGGCGTGTGCCTGTAATCCCAGCTACTTGGGAGGCCGAGGCAGGAGAATTACTTGAACCAGGGAGTCGGAGGTTGCAATGAGCCAAGATCATGCCACAGCACTCCAGCCTGGTGACAGAGCCAAAAAAAAAAAAAAAAAAAAGAGTTGTTAAACCTGGAACTTCCTCCTTCCTCCTTTCCATCCTTGAGGGCCAGGTGTGGGAACAGATCAAGGTGGAGTCCTTGGTGGCATTTGGGCTGCGGATGGGTGTGAGTGGATCAAAGCTGGCCCACGCCTCCATCTCTCCAGCCCTTGCAGTGGGTTGGCCTCAAAGGCTCGCTGACCCCGCATTTAGGTCCTAGCCAGCCCCTTTGCTAAATCCTCAAAGCAGCAAGCACCGGTGGCCAGGTGAGATGGCTCCAAGGCCTAAAACTAAGATGGTGAAGGCAGCAAGGAACGAGTCCGCCTCCCTGCACTCCTACTCCTTAGCACCTGGGCAGCCATCCTGGGGGTGGAGCGCCAGGGTCCTGCCCCGTTCCTTGCACCGCAGAGACCCGAAGTTTATACGGAGTCGAGTCTGCTGAATGGCAGGGGTCATGCCAGGGACTCTGCTGGTAATTTTGAGTGAATGATACCCTAACTTAAGACCCCCTCCCGCCACACCTTGGCCCCTAAGACGAGGCTGTCTGGCAGGATGGGTGTCAGGGGGCTGTGCATTTCACCTGCAGAGCCTCCTGCCGTGCCCATGTGCACCCCCCAGGGGCGTGGGGGGCTCCGAAAGGTTGCCTGAGGTCACACATGAGTGGGTGGTAGAAAGCCTTGTGTGTGTGTATGTGGGTGCCTGTGCCTGTTGTGGGGTGTGTGTGTACGTGTGTTTGTGTTGTGTGTGGTGTGCGGTATCCATATAATGTGCATGTAGTTTACGGTGTTGTGAGTGGTGCGTGAGTGTGAGAATGTGTGTGGTATGTGGTGTGTGGAGTATGTGAGGAATGTGGTGTGGGTGAGTGTGACAGTGTGTGGCGTATACCAGGGGTCCCCAACCCCTGGGCCATGGACCAGTACCAGTCCCTGGTCTGTTAGTAAGCAGGAGGTGAGCATCTGCATTTGCAGCCGCTCCCTGTGGCTCGCATTACTGCCTGAGCTCCGCCTCCTGTCAGGTCAGCAGTGGCATTAGAGTGTCACAGGAGTGTGAACAAGTGTTTGTGAGCCTGCGCATGCCAGGGATCAGGTTGCATGCTGCTCATGAGAATCTAATGCCTGATGATCTGTCACTGTCTCCCATCACCCCAGATGAGACCTGTCTAATGATTACCCAGAACAGCTCAGGGCTCCCACTGATCCTACGTGATGATGATTTGTGCAATCATTTTTATTATATATATGGCAATGTAATAATAATAGAAATAAAGTGCACAATAAATGGAATGTGCTTGGATAATGTCCTGAAACCACCCCATTACTCCATCTGCAAGAAAGCCTGGCTTTCCCTACAAAACCCCGATCCCTGGTGCCAAAAAGGTTGGAGACTGCTGGTATATGTGGTGTGTGGTGGGGGTGTGTGTGTGAATATGAGGCTGTGTGTGGTAATATTGTGAGTTATTGTGAGGAAGTAGGTGTAGTGTGTGAGTGTAGGTGTGGGAGTGTGCATGTGTGGTGTAGGTGGTGTATGTGGTGTGGTGGGGGTGTGTGTGTGAATATGAGGTGTGTGTGGTTGTAGTGTGAGAGTATGTGTGGTGTGGTGAGAGTGTTTGGTGTGGGTGGTGTATGTGTGTGTGGGGTGTGGTATGTATGGGAGCGTGTGGTACTGTGAGTTTGAGAATGTGTGTGGTGTGGCAATCGCGTGTGGTATATGTGTGGGTGGTGTGTGTGTGTGTGAGTTGGTATGTGTGGTGTGTGTGTGGTGTGTGTGAGTTGGTATATGTGGTGTGTGGTGTGTGTGTGAGTTAGTATGTGTGGCGTGTGGTGTGTGTGTGTGAGTTGGTATATGTGGTGTATTGGTGTGGTGTGTGTGTGAGTTGGTATATGTGGTGTGTGGTGTGTGTGTGAGTTGGTATGTGGGGCGTGCGGTGTGTGTGTGTGAGCTGGTATGTGTGGCGTGTGGTGTGTGTGTGTGAGTTGGTATGTGTGTGGTGTGTGGTGTGTGTGTGTGAGTTGGTATGTGTGGTGTGGTGTGTGTGAGCTGGTATGTGTGGTGTGTGGTGTGTGTGTGAGTTGGTATGTGTTGTGTGGTGTGTGTGTGTGTGAGCTGGTATGTGTGGCGTGTGGTGTGTGTGTGTGAGTTGGTATGTGTGGTGTGTGGTGTGTGTGTGAGTTGGTATGTGTGGCGTGCGGTGTGTGTGTGTGTGTGAGTTGGTATGTGTGGTGTGTGGTGTGTGTGTGAGTTGGTATATGTGGTGTGTGGTGTGTGTGTTGGTATATGTGGTGTGTGGTGTGTGTGTGAGTTAGTATGTGTGGCGTGTGGTGTGTGTGTGTGTGAGTTGGTATATGTGGTGTGTGGTGTGTGTGTGAGTTGGTATATGTGGTGTGTGGTGTGAGTGGGTTGGTATATGTGGTAACCCAGCCGGTGTGTGTGTGGTGTGTGTGTGAGTTGGTATATGTGGTGTGTGGTGTGTGTGTGAGTTGGTATGTGTGGCGTGTGGTGTGTGTGTAGGGATTGGTATGTGTGGTGTGTGTTGTGTGTGTGAGTTGGTATATGTGGTGTGTGGTGTGTGGTGTGTGTGTGAGTTGTTATATGTGGTGTGTGGTGTGTGTGTGAGTTGGTATGTGCTGGTGTGTGGTGTGTGTGTGAGTTGGTATGTGTGGCGTGTGGTGTGTGTGTGTGTGTGAGTTGGTATATGTGGTGTGTGGTGTGTGTGTGGTGTGTGTGTGAGTTGGTATATGTGGTGTGTGGTGTGTGTGTGTGTGAGTTGGTATGTGTGGTGTGTGTGGTGTGTGGTGGTTGGTATGTGGTGTGTGGTGTGTGGTGTGTGTGTGGTGTGTGTGTGAGTTGGTATATGTAATTGTGTAATTGTGTGTGTGAGTTGGTATATGTGGTGTGTGGTGTGGTGTGTGTGTGAGTTAGTATGTGTGGTGTGTGTGTGAGTGAGTTGGTATGTGTGGTGTGGTGTGTGTGTGAGTTAGTATGTGTAGTGTGTGTATGAGTGGCCAGGTTGGTATGTGTGTGTGTGTGGTGTGTGAGTTGGTATGTGTCGTGTGTGTGTGAGTTGGTATGTGTGGTGTGTGGTGTGTGTGAGTTGGTATGTGTGGCGTGCAGTGTGTGTGTGTGAGTTGGTATGTGTGGTGTGTGTGTGTGAGTTGGTATGTGTGGTGTGTGGTTTGTGGTGTGTGAGTGAGTTGGTATATGTGGTGTGTGGTGTGTGTGTGAGTTGGTATGTGTGGTGTGTGGTGTGTGTGTGAGTTGGTATATGTGGTGTGTGTGGTGTATGTGGTGTGTGTGTGTGAGTTGGTATATGTGGTGTGTGGTGTGTGGTGAGTTGGTATATGTGGTGTGTGGTGTGTGTGTGTGAGTTGGTATATGTGGTGTGTGGTGTGTGGTGTGTGTGTGAGTTGGTATGTGTGGTATGCGGTGTGTGTGTGTGTGAGTTGGTATGTGTGGTGTGGTGTGTGTGTGAGTTGGTATATGTGGTGTGTGGTGTGTGTGAGTTGGTATGTGTGGTGTGTGGTGTGTGTGTGTGAGTTGGCATGTGTGGTGTGTGGTGTGTGTGTGAGTTGGTATGTGTGGTGTGGTGTGTGTGTGTGAGTTGGTATGTGTGGTGTGTGGTGTGTGTGTGTGAGTTGGTATGTGTGGTGTGTGGTGTGTGTGTGTGAGTTGAGTATGTGTGGGTGGTGTGTGTGAGTTGGTATATGTGATTGTGTGGTGTGTGTGTGAGTTGGTATGTGTGGTGTGTGGTGTGTGTGTGTGTGAGCTGGTATGTGTGGCGTGTGGTGTGTGTGTGTGAGTTGAAAATAATGCTGGTGTGTGGTGTGTGTGTGAGTTGGTATGTGGTGTGTGGTGTGTGTGTGTGAGTTGGTATGTGTGGTGTGGTGTGTGTGAGTTGGTATATGTGGTGTGTGTAGTGTGTAGGTAGGTTAGTATGTGTGGTGTGTGGTGTGTGTGTGTGAGCTGGTATGTGTGGCGTGTGGTGTGTGTGTGTGAGTTGGCGCCTGTGTGGTGTGTGGTGTGTGTGTGTGAGTTGGTATGTGTGGCGTGCGGTGTGTGTGTGTGTGAGTTGGTATGTGGTGTGTGTGTGTGTGAGTTGGCATGTGTGGTGTGTGGTGTGTGTGTGAGTTGGTATATGTGGTGTGTGGTGTGTGTGTGTGAGTTGGTATGTGTGGTGTGTGTGTGTGAGTTGGTATGTATTGGTGTGTGTGTGAGTTGGTATGTGTGGTGTGCGGTGTGTGTGTGTGAGTTGGTATGTGTGGTGTGTGGTGTGTGAGTTGGTATATGTGGTGTGTGGTGTGGTGTGTGTGTGAGTTGGTATGTGTCGTGTGTGTGAGCTGGGCATGTGGCGTGTGGTGTGTGTGTGTGAGTTGGTATGTGTGGTGTGTGTGTGTGAGTTGGTATGTGTGGTGTGTAGAGGCGGCAGTGTGTGGCTGGGTGACTCCTCCCATCTTCCTCCTGACCGCCCCCTCCTGTGACATTCCTATAGTGTAATTTCACACAAACAACCTTGGGAACCCTTAGGACTAAAGTGCAAGGCTCAAGACCAGCCTCACCTTTCACTGCTGTGTGAGCCATTAGCCTTGGACCTCGGTTTCCTCATCAAGGAAAGAGGAAAGAAGAGGTGTGTGAAGAGAGGCCTCATGGCAGGATTCCTTGGAAACGCGGGCAAGAAGCCCAAGGCCCAGTTCTCTTGGGGAGAACCAGGGGCCCATCTGAGGGGACAGCATGCCGCCCAGGGCCAGGCCGGCCTTGTGGTGTGTGAGGGCGGCAGTGTGTGTGGCTGGGGTGACTCCTCCCATCTTCACTCCTGACCGCCCCTCCTGTGACATTCCTACTCAGTGTAATTTCACTGAAACAGCCTTGGAACCCTTGGGACTAAGAGTCCTGAGCTCAAGACCAGCCTCTGCCCCTCACTGCTGTGTGAGCCATTATGGACCTCGGTTTCCTCATCTGAGAAGAGGAAAGAAGAATTATTGAAGGGCCTCCGCGGCAGGGTTCCTTTGGAGAACGCAGGCAGAAGCCCAAGGCCCAGTTCTCTTGGGGGAGAACCACGGGGCCCATCTGGGGGACAGCATACACTTCAGGACCAGGCCGGCCTGGCTTAAGCCTGGATTCTGCATGTTCTTGGCTGGGGACTCAGGCTCCCTGAGCGCAGTGAGTGATCTCCAGGATGGGGTCTCCAGGGAACCTACCTGGAACAGTAGCTGCAAGTGGCTGGCTGCAGTAGGACCTATACATCATCTGTTCACATCGTTCCAAAGGGTGAGGCCAGCCCCAGAAGAGTGACAGCCACCGTCCACCTGGCCCCGTCAGACCAGGGCCCTTTGCCTCATCTTTGTTTATAATCCATATGTCATCCGTCTCACCAGAAGACTTGAGTCAGTTTATGATTTAAAATTATGCAAAGCCTGGGCGCTCTGGTGGCTCACACCTGTAATCCCAACACATTGGGAGGCTAAAGCGGGAGGACTGCTTGAGCCCAAGGGTTCAAGACCAGACTGGGCAACGTGGCGAAACCCCATCTCTACAAAAAAAAACTACAACAAATTAGATGGGTGTGGTGGCGTGCACCTGTAGTCCCAGCTGCTTGGTAGGCTGGGATGGGAGGATTGCTTGAGCCTGGGAGTTTGAGGCTGCAGTGAGCCAGGATGGCGCCACTGCACTCATGCCTGGGTGACAGAGCAAGACTCTGTCTCAAATACAATAACATAAAATAATGCAAAAAAAAAAAAAAAAAAAAAAAAAAAAAAGGAAGAAGAATAAAGAGTTAAAAGAGGAAGTGGCCAGAAACACACAAAAGAAAGTTGGGAAATGGAATGTGGGGAAAACAAGGTAATTGTGCCTAAAACCTGAGAGAAGTTGCCGCACTGGGTCCCAGGGTGATCCCTGGATCCCTGGCAGCCAGGGCGGGGGAGACACCTGCTGCCTCCTGGGAGAAGGCCGAGGGTGGCGCTGTGTCTGGGGAGTAACCGGGCTGCATCCCACCACAGTCACCCCATACTCAGTGATCGACACGTGGCCAGGCCGGCGGAGCGGAGGCATGATCGTCATCACTTCCATCCTGGGCTCCCTGCCCTTCTTTCTACTTGTGGGTTTTGCTGGTGCCATTGTCCTCAGCCTCGTGTAAGTACCCAGCTGGGAAGGCTGGACCCCAGGGACACGCCAGACTTATTCGGCTTGCAGGGACTCAGCAGCAGGGTCCTCCAAGGCAGGGGACAGCCTGAAAGGCAAGGAAGCTACCTTCTGCCCTGTGGGTGGGGTCTGGTGAAGAGGGAGCAGAGTCCTGGGATTTCAAAGCGGGAGGACCATCGAAGTCAAGTTGCTCAGCTGTGAAGGGTGGGGCTCAGCACCTGGGCTTTTGGGCAGACGGCCAATTCAGATCTTAGCTCTGACACTTAGAGGTATGCAACCTTAGATATGGCTTATTGTCCTTCTATTCTTCAGTTTCCCCATCTGGAAAATGGAAATAATAAATATTAGTCATCTCACGGAGTTGTGAAGGTTGAGTGGAATAATCTCTATAACGTTTCTAGAGCAGTGCCTGGGAACTCAACAAGTATTTGCTTTCATTGTCATTATAATACACCCACTTGTAGTACAGAGGGGGAAACTGAGGCCCAGAGGGGGTCAGAGTGGCCCAAGGCAACACAGCCTGCAGACCAGAACCCAGAGTTGGAGTCCTAGAACCTGGGACTCGGGACTCCACTGACACCTCTGATTTGTGTCGGCTTTGGATGAGAGTGGTGTACTAGAGTTAGCAGGGCTGTGGGTGGGGAAGGCAGGTGAGCCCACAATCCACTAACCCCTGGGAAGACCAGGCAGTGGACAAACCAAGGTACCGTAGGAATCCAGAGGAGGGCAGGGCGGGTGCTGCCTGGAGCATCAGGGTGGCCTTCCTGCAGGAAGGGTCAGTGTGAGCAAACTCCCATTGGCAGAGTCCTTCTCAGTGAGAGGCAGGGAGGCAGGGAGGCCCAGGGGACTTTGAAGACCCAGAGAGGTCCCAGTGTGGGAAGGGGTGGAGCAGATAGAAAAGTTTCTTGGAGTAAGTATAATTAAGTGGATCCATGGAAACCAGCCAGGCAGGAAAAGATAGGTGGGGTGGGTGGAGATCGAATGAGGGAGGAGGCTGAGAACTTGCAAATCAGGTTGGTGGACTGTGGGCTTCCCTGTCTTCCCCACCCACAGCCCTGCTAACCCTGGTACACTCCCCGGGAGACCTGGAGTCCTCATCCAAAGCCGATACAAATCAGAGGTGTCAGTGGAGTCCCGAGTCCCGGGTTCTAGGTCCCCAACTCTGGGTTCTGGTCGCAGACTGTGTGACCTTTGACATTTAATGATGAATGACTCTGACGTTTAAGTTAATAAAAACAATAGATGATATCAGCCTCCCAGAAACGCTGCCTGGCTGCACCTGGGAGCAGTCAGAACGTGGCAATGTCCCTCCTTCCTTTTGGGCAGTACCCTAATCTGGCACTGAAGATCCCGTTATCTGAATTTAGCCCAGATTTTCCATGTATCCCTTCTGCTACCCCCACTCTGTTCCGGCTCCAGCTGCACCAACTCTGATCTGCACTATTGCTCCAGATACTCCTCAGCCCTTCATGCTTCACACCTGCCTGCCATGTGCTGCCCCCATACCTGAATGCCTTTCTCTCCCCTAACACTCCTCTTTTTTTTTTTTTTTTTTTTTT